CTATTTATAAAAATACTAATAATAAAAATAATAAAATAAAATAATAAGATAAAATAATTGAAACTCATTTTATAACACTATAATCTAATTCTATTAGTAGATACTTGAGTACTGCTACCTTTAGTTAGTTTCATTACTTCATTTTTCCAATATATATATACTATAGTTTTTTGTTTTTCTCAAGATCAGGTTTTGTTTTTCATTCAATAGCAAACCTCAGGATTTTACTTAACAACTATAATACAAGTGCTTACTGAATACTATATATAATAAATAAAAATAACTTAAGACACTTGATTAGCAGACTTTATGACCCTTAACTTCTGTTTCAATGGAATGAATAGGGGGTTAATTAACAGTAACTATAATATTTAAATTGACTCTTATACTCACTTAAATTAAAGCAAAAAAATGATTTTGATGATTTTAATCCTCTATAAACTTGGAATGCAGTTTTAAAATAGGCTAACAAATCAATGTAGATAGTACTAACACTTAAGTAATTGTAGTTTTCAAATAAACTAACAAAATAGTCTAAAAGACTTACTAAAATTAATACGAAATAGGTCCCTACGGGCTATAACTGCTACTTTCAAAGAGGCTAGAAATATAAAGTATTTAATAATCTTCATTGCAGTTTCAAAAAATATTAATAACTTACTAAAATTAACATAAAAGTATGATTTATAACGTATTATTCTGAATTAGCTTAATTTCCAGTTTTAAATAGGATAACAAAAAGGTGATGCTAACAATTATAATTTAATTTTTTTTAATTTAAACTTAGTTTTTTTTTTCCTTTAGAATTACATATATTATGCAAATCCTTGTTCAAGACTTCATTTCTGAATTTAAATTAATTATTATGTATTCAGTGATTTCATTGATAAGACTGCTTATAAGGGAGAATTTCTGGTGATACTATAGGCATTTCCTAATAATAATAAGTCTTAGAGTTGTAATTCAGATTTTTATTAATAAAAATTATGAAATTTTAATTATAATAGAAATGAAACTATAAGAATTCAAGAAATAGATATAAATACACCTTGAAACTAATATTAAAACTCTATACTCCAAACTCATAAATGTAGTACTATTATGTTCTATATGAACTAAAATTAGATTCAATATTTAAATATTAAATCTGATATTGAAATCAGACAAGAGCTTAAATTATATTAAATTCAGATACAATATCAAATTATCTATAATATATATTCCACATAATATATATTCCACATAATAATTGAAAAAAGAATTAAGCAAAGATATCAAAGACATGTCAAAGCTGTTATTTATTTATTTATTATTATTCTTCTATAACAGATCTTAGATAAGGAATGAATGTCTTATATTTGTTCTTTTTAATTTAAATTCATTTAATAGTTGTCATGATTATATTCTAGCTATATAATCTCAATCTAATCGCTCTCTATTTGGGCATGTTTAGGTATTATAGCCTTGTTGACTGTAGATACTACATTGTCTTTGCATATTTTTATGACTTTGGTAAATTTGCTATATAAGTAGCAAAACTAACACTACGATATCATATGATCCTATTAAAATATGAACTACTTGCATTAGTAAGAATACATTAGGATAATTTACTATATTTATTATTTCAACTAAACCAATATCTGGTTTTACTGTATCTAATTTTTCTTGTATATGTTCATAACTTGTCAAAAATTCTTCACTATTGCTATCGTCAGAATCTATATAAACAAACATTATTAGTAATAAGTATAAATATATTAAATATAGGTTAATTTCTAACTTGTTGCTTAACTTACATTGACTATACAAATCATAAATAAGTAACAGGTTAAAAGCATGTATTAATTAATATTGATATTTAAATTTAATAACCTACCTTTTGGTTTCATCACTCTTATCAATATTCAAAAGCTTTTTTTCTTTACAGATTTTACTATTATGACCTTCTTGCTTATATATCTTACATTTATATTGAGTTTTAGTATTAAAATTTTCTATAACACTCTTAATTCTTTTTGAATCAGATTTTTTAAGATGATTTTTTGGTCTTCGTTTAATAGGATTTTGAATTATCTCACTATAATTCTCATAGTTAAGATTACTATTCATATTATCATTATTAATCATTCTTTTTTGAATTAACGAAAAAAAACCAAGAAGCTTATTATAAATATTATTATTGTTATCCTCAATTATGTTAACTATTATCTTTCTCTCTAATCTCCAAAGTTCACCAAATTTATGTTTTTTTGAAATAGCTTTGGATATTTTGCTAGGCGATTGTTTTGAAACAACCTTGTTTGCAAACTCTTTAGTTTAATTAACATCAAACTCAGATAAATTTAAAAATCATATTGGCAAGAGATGTATCTTTAACATTAGTGTTAATGCACCTAAAGAAACAACTACAAATTTATTATTTGATATCTTAGTTCCCTGTAATCCATCTTTATACTAGCGCCTATTTACTAACCCAATATAAAATCTTGCAGTTGGAGTTAAGGTTATTATATGATAAAAATGATGACATAGATAGCCGTGAGATTTGCTTATCATACATATACAAAGAAAAGTACCATTGTTTAAAAATATAAAAAATAGGAGGTGCCAGGATTTGCTAAGTATAAAACTTCCTATACTTCAAGAATTATTAAAGAATCAGTTGTAAACAAGCTCAATTGTACTTGCGAGCAGTCAAATAAGTTATCAATACACTAATCTGGTTTATCAATCTCCTAAAAAAAATATCAAATAAATAATTTCTTATCAAATTAAAATAATACCAATTTAATTCTTAGTTTACATAATATTTAATTAATAAGATAAAGAAAAACAGAAAAATAATATATAATAATATTGCATAATAGAAAATACTTTAATTTCGTTAGTTAAATTAATATACATTAGGTTTATATAAATTTTAAAAAATAAAAAAGAATGAAATAATACTATAGTTAATTTAATGTCTATTGGTTTATATAAATTTTGAAAATAGAGGAAGGTAAGATTATTTAAACACAGAATTAAATTGGTTTGGCTTAAGCAGAAATAATATTACAAGAAACTTACTAGAGGTTGGAACCAGTTTTAATAATTTGGGTTTATCATATGAATTTTATAATATTTTAGATATTTATCTAATTAAATTCTAATAAATTCTAAAATATCACAAAATTTATATGATAAATCTGAATTATTAAAACTGGTTTTGATCTCTAAAACTTACTTTCTCTTTAGATAATATAACTTCAAAATTAATTTCTATAGCATGATAGTGAAGACTTAAATTTATTTGCTTCTCCTGTTTCTTTATTATATTAAGCATTACGAATTTGTTAAGCTGTCTTGCAACAGGTTCAAAAATAGTGTTTACTACATTTTGTGGTCCTATTTGTAGTATGACTTACTTCCAGTTTACAAATTTATAGTAGTCATTCTCTTCCTGGTACCTTTCTTCTAAAGTGTCAAATAATTTATATAATGAAAGATTCGAAGTATCAAAAAGGCATTTTAGAGTTGAGTTTTTACTCTCATTACAAGAAGTTGATTGTACACCAGTAGTAAAATATTTATTGGTAAACGCATATACCCAAGATTGAGTATTAGACTCTAACGATCTTATTAAATAATCCTTTGCTTGTAGATAACCTTGTAACAACTTTTCCTATCTTTAATAAATAAAATTATTAATTACTTTTAATACAAATTTTCATAATTTATTATTAACTTTAAATAACTAATACAAAATCTTTATAACATAATAAATTATTCATTCATCTTTCAGAAAATTTTTCTTCAGTTATACTGTTTCTCATTATATAAAAATCCTTCATAAAATTAGTAAAATTTGAACCTAATGCTCCTTTTAGATTTTTTAGTAAGTTTTGACTTATGTACCAAATACAGTGTATGTAGAAGGTACCAGAAAATTGAGTAATAATGGCACTATTAACTGCAGGGTTACCATCTGTCACAAAAACCTTTAGTACTAAACCAGTTGCATCCTTAATACATTTGAAAACCCTCTCATATGAAGATTGTATCTCATTATCAACAATTGCTTGAGCCACAATTCATGTTTTTAAATTGTTATCTGAAGTAACAAAAATTGATAAAGGTTGATCATAGTAGTTAGTTTTGCATATATTATCATATATTATTATATCATAATAATGTAATCATAATATTTGCTATTTGGGGCTCATCCAAAATAGATGAGTCAGAGAAGAAGTGACAGGATCAATTTTCATTAAAAATACCTAATGGGAATCTTCAATATTTTCTCATACAACTTTTTTAATAATACTCCTGTATTATTTCTTCCTAGTTCAGAATTATGACAAAACCTACTAATGGTATTATAGAAGTTTGGTCTATATATCCTAGTTTTGTATTTCTCCTAAATTATTCAATAATACATTGTTGCATCTGCTTTTATCATGACTGTCAAGAAATGAATTTCTTCAAGAATTTCTTTTAGTAGCTTTCTTAACATTGAATTGAAATATTTTGCTAATGGATGAAGTTCGTGACCAACATATTCATTATTTAAGGCAGTGACTTCAAGGCAATTTATATCTTTTTGAGCTAAATGTTTACTTTTCATAGGTATCCTACTTGACAAGACGTCCTACTCAATTGCTTTGGAGGTGTTCTAGAATAACAACATAAGTATGTCTGTTTTAATATTTTTTGTGTCATTGCATCTTTTTTTCTACCACTATTAATTCGAATTCTATAACCCTTAGCTACAGTATACTTCTTCATAAAACACGCTACTTGACACCAGTTTTGGAATGTTTTACTAACAGAAAGATTTAAAATAACTTTGTTATCATCAAAGCTAAAAGATTAGTAAATTAAAAATAATTAATCATTATATTGTAATAATTAATTAACAAACATCCTAACTTATCTATCTGTTTCAGAAAAATCTTCTTCACTGTTATACTTTATTAATGCCTCAAGTTCAATGTCTGACTCTGACTTATCTATAATTAAACAAATGTTGTAAATTATAAAGAAATAATCTTTGATTTACAAAAAAGTACAGTAATTTGAGTCAAGGTATAGTGATACTTAAAAATAAAATATTTAAAGCAACAAAATTAAATTGCTTTCAAGTCTAAACTTTCTACTTAGTATAGTATAAAATTTACTTTTGTTTTTTCAACCAAATAACAATTAATTTTATATTTTAATGGTCTTGTTTTATCAGTCTTTATTTCTTGTATTGTTACGATTTTTTTTTTTTTTTTTTTTTTATTATCACTCTTTGCTTCTTTTTTTAGTTTCTTCGCTCCTTTTTTCTTGTTTTCGTTGCTTCTTTTTTTTTCGTTTATTTACTCTTTTTTTGTTAGAGTTACTTTTAATTTGCTGTTTTTTTTTTATTTCATTTCTTCACTCCTTTTTTTTTCTTAGTTTATTATTAGCTTTTTTTTTGGGATAGCTTTTGGTTTGTCTTAGCTTTTTTTTTAATTTTTTTGCTCCTTTTTGGTCGATACTTTTTTTTGATTCACTTTAGTTATGTCTCATTCTTTAAACTTGATTTGGCTTTGCTTATACTAAGGATTTCAAACTAAAGATTTTAAATATGATGTCATTATACCCTCAGAACTAGTCATTTCACTTTAGTACTTACTATACATATGTATGTACTAAGATTGTGTTAGATTATCTTTTGCAAGTCCCAAGTACAAAAGTGTTACTATAACACTATAATATGAAAAAAAGTTTGTTATAACATATAATTTATGCATATACACATATATAACGATAGGGTTACTTTGATATATACTGTACTACTACTACAAAATGATTGGTTAATATTAAAGGTCGTTATAGTGATAGGTTGCTATTTATAAATTTCCTAAGTTTAATTAATATTATTTATTATTTTGTTTAATTTAAATTTATAATTCTGCTTTATAAAATATACAAAATATATTATATAGTTATTTTTATATTTATAAATTATTAAGCTTGAATTTTTAATATTAGTAATAAAGTCTAAATAAATAGTAATTAAAAAACCAATTGTTGTAAAAATTAAATTTATAACTATTTTTATTGTTTTAAATTTTTATAACTTTTTATATTAATATGAATACTAGATCGAGTGATCTTAGTATAGTAGCTAGGTTGCTAAACTACTATGTAAAAGGTCTGAAATTCAAATTCTACTATTAATAAATTTAAATAATTACTCAAATCTTTATATCTAACTTATAATAAACTCTGTTTATTTTTAGAAGTTGTAATTCTGTAAATCATATTGCATTAATATTAATTAGATATTGAAAGTATGATATAATATTTGAGTTATATTGCATAAATAAATTTTAATAGAATTTATAAGCAAAGAATTTGTATAGTAAAAATTTTAAATTAGATAAAGTAGTATAGATTTTAATAGTCATACTAGTTAATACTTGATTCAGAAAAAAAGCCTGTATATAAAAGATACAGATTAAGTAGGTATAAGTAAGTCTGCTATATAATATAGTCTAGTACCTTGTATAAGTAGCAATATTAATTTAGCTTAGTAGCTAACTAAATTTAGGAAGATTTGTTTTGTAAAATATTCAAATATATAGAGAACTAATTTAGTGAAAAGCTATAGTAGAAACTGAATTTGTATGAATATCTATAAAAGTATATACTAGCTTAATTAAGATATAGTACAGTATAGTTAGAGTATTCTGCAAATCTTTCTCAAAGAAGACAATAGAATACCTTAAGATAGAGCTTTTTCTAATAGAAGAAACTAAAATACAAGCCAGTTTGAATAGTCTTCAATAAGGTAGTATAAGATTGTACAAATTTAAGAATAAAATTAGATTGATATTAGAGATAACAAAAATGTTAGAGAGTTTAAAATAGAGTAGCTACAAATAGATACTAGATATAGCAATTAATAGATAACTTTTAGATAGAATCTTTAAATAGATAATAATTAAAGTTGTACATATGACCTTACTAACTAATATAAATCTACAAATAATCTAATAAAAATTAACTAACATCAAAGCTTTGTTGTAATAATAAAAAAAACAAAATATGATTACTGAATTAAAGGTAGGATATACATAGATCATTTTTCATATGATCTAGATAGTATATTAGATTTTTATATAGTAAATTAAAATATATTACTAGTAAAACTTTTTTATTTTTTAATTAATTTTTATGAAAATTCAATAATATATAGATTTAAATAAGTAATTTATTATATTAAAATTTTATAAGATATTTAATTTAAAAAAATTATATTTGTATATATCTTGAATTTTCCCTGGACACTCTATGTTTTTCCCTGGTTATACAAAGAAGTCAACTTTAATTGGCTAATTTCTGAAAAGCTATAAGAGAATTTTAATAGTAAATTTTTATATTGAATCTTTAAAAATTTATATATCGATGAGTTTTAAACCAATTTTAATAATTTTACTACTGTTAGAATCACAAAAATCTAATCTACAAGTTTACTTAGAAGCTCAAAAAATATTTAATTAGTAAAAATTCTTGTAATTCGAGTTATAAAAAAAAATATACTATCAAGTTTATATATAATTTTAAATATTATACCCTACTCTTAAAGTAATATAATATTAGTTATTAAGATCTATATGAGCTCTCAAAAGTAAAAACTAAAGAATTTGGCTGATCATGAGTTTTGAGATATTCAGCAAAAACATTTTTGTTATACAAAATCAAAATAATTTAAAAATAGCCTATTTAAAATTAACCTAGTTAAACAACAGGATTATTAGATCTATATATTGCTTTTAAAATAAAATACATGCAACATTTGCACAAAAATCTATTTTTAGATTTAGTGTCAAAAACTTTTAACTGTCATATCTTAAAAATTTATTAATTAACTAGACTTTCAATATTAAGTAAAAAATATTTGGTATTAAATATTATACCTGATCTATAAAACAGGTTAATTTTCAAAAAAATGTCAAATTCTCTAGTTTCTACTTTTGAGAGCCTATATTTATAACTTTGAATATATTAATCTATCAAATAGATGTAACTATACATCTTCAAATATCTGTATCAATAGTTAACATATATCATAATTTATATAATAATAATAATAAAATTTATAATATTGCAAATTTAAATAGAACTAGACATATGTTTGATTTTATTGAATGAATAACTACTTCACCTTCATGAGGTTTAATTCTTTATATTTATCTAGAAAAAGACAGTATTAGTAAAACACTTATACTACTTTCAAATATTATATTCTAAAAAAAACTAACAATTAGATTTAGATAAACTATTTGGTTTAGTAAAACCACTGCTACTTATCAGATAAAAATAAAACTAAACTAATTTTACTATTGTGTAGTCTATTTCTATAAAAATTTCTGTTTTTAGAATAAAAAGTTAAAAAAATTAATTCTGACCAAAATTATATAAACAATTACAGTATGTAATACAAGCCAAAT